GAATAATACTGGTGCTTTTGGTTGCTGTTGGTACGATGATTTTCATGATTTACTAGGTTATGGTAACAAGAATTATTTTATCTTTCAATGGACGCAAACATGTTGTACAACTCAATTTATCACTATTGATCATGTTTGCAGTGGTTTTATGGTCCCTGGATCACACTATGGTCTTCATCAATTATGCTGGTTAAGCAGTTTTATTTCTTTGGTTTTTCTGGTTTCAAGGACTATTGAGGATCTATGGCTTTTCTTGTTCGTGGTATACTTTCTATATAGGATTAAGGTGCAATGGTCTATGCTTTTCTTCTGGCAGTGGTGGGTCTCATCAAACCACTCACAAGCTCATTATTGGCTCCGAAGGTTGGAATATCACGTTAAGAATTTACGAGCCAAGCACTTTGCTTATAGGTGGCAACAGATAATTCCCTCCTGTGACTGGGGCTTCCGGCTTTTGATTTGTAGGGATTTGCGGGTTGCCAATGTCTCTTGAGCTTACATGCTAATCTTGTGGATAATATCATTAATGGTCAAGGTCTCTCATTGGTATGTCATGGATGATTTCTTGTGGATGCTTAGTTATGAAGAGAGTAAGGATTCATCATATCCTTCTCTTGTGAATTATCGGCTGCCATTTAAATTTTTATTATGAAAGTACTAAGCTGGAATTGTAGAGGAATGGGAAGTAAATGGACAATTAGTTATCTTCGGGAACTATGGCACAAGCATAAACCAGATTTTCTATTTTTATCGGAAACAAAACAAGAGTATGAGTTCGTACAAGGGTTTCAAGCACACTTTGGATATGATAAATTGGTTACGGTGGACCCAATAGGCAGAAGTGGAGGTCTGGCTCTTTTTTACAATAATGAATATCAAGTTAATACTTTATATTCGAGTAATCGGATGATTGATGTGGAGGCACTGGTGCTGGGAAAAAGGTGTTTCTAACTTTTGTGTATGGAGATCCGGTTCAAGACTTAAGGGAACAAGTATGGGAACGATTAACTCGATACGGGTTAGCAAGATCAGAACCATGGTTTATTATTGGCGATTTAAACGAGATAACTGGCAACCATGAAAAGGAAGGGGGTGCGTTAAGGAGCATGGCTTCTTTTGTTCCATTTAATAATATGATCCGAAATAGTGGGTTACTTGAGTTTCCGGCTAGAGGAAACAAGATGTCATGGTAAGGACGTAGAGGGAAAGGGAAAGTAGCGGTGATGATAAGGTGTCGCCTTGACCGAGCACTAGCGAACGAGGAATGGCATACACTATTCACATGTTCCTATACAGAATATTTGGGAATGATTGGCTCCGACCAGTTCTTGCACACATGGAGGACAGACTCTCTAAACGAAAAGGACAATTTCGATTTGATAAACGGTGGATTGGGCAGGACGGCTTTATGGAATCAATTGTAACTGGTTGGGCAGCCGAATCCAATGGCCAGGGAGGTAGTTTGGTCACAAGGATTAGTAATTGTAGGCATGAGATTGCGAAATGGAGAAAAAACAACCCACCGTATGGAAAGGAGAAAATTCAAGATCTTCAAAGGGCGCTTGAAGAGGTACAAATGGATGATAATCGGACACAAGAGGATATCTTGGAAGTGTCTACGAAATTACAAGACACATATAAGGATGAGGAAGATTATTGGTATCAAAAGAGCCGTAACATGTGGTATTCCTCGGGAGATCTTAATACAAAATTTTATCATGCTTTAACGAGATAAAGACGTGTACGTAAAAGAATAGTGGGGATTCATAATGAGGCTGGAATGTGGATAACAGAGGATAAAGGTGTGGAACAAGTAGCAGTAGACTACTTTACGGAATTATTTACATCGATTTCCCCATCTGCATTTGATACTTTTCTTGAGGAAGTTCCCACCAATATTACCCTTCAAATGAATCAACGATTATTAAGGGCGGCCACGAGGAGGTTAGACAAGCTTTATTTATGATGCATCCGGAGAAGGCGCCTGGTCTTGACGGAATGACTGCACTTTTTTTCCAACACTCCTGGCATGTTATTAAAAAGGATCTAGTAGAGATGGTTAATAGTTTTTTGGTCTCAGATGTTTTGGATGCCAGGTTAAACATTACTCATATTTGAATGATTCCGAAGACGGAGAGACCCACAAGGATGACAGAACTTAGACCGATAAGTCTGTGTAATGTTGGATATAAGATCATTTGAAAAGTATTATGTCAACGGCTGAAAATTTGTTTGCCCAGCCTAATATCGGAGACCCAATCTGCTTTTGTTCCAGGGAGATTAATTTCGGATAATATTTTGATTGCACAGGAAATGTTTCATAGTTTGAGAGCTAATAAGTCTTGTCAGGGGAAGTTTATGGCGATAAAAACAGACATGAGTGAAGCGTATGATAGGGTGGAATGGACTTTTATCCAAGCTTTGCTTCACAAGATGGGTTTTGATCCTCATTGGGTAAGACTAATGATGGAAGGTATATCATCTGTCCAGTACCGGGTATTAATAAATGGTCACCCAAAGGGCCTCATTACCCCCCAGAGAGGCTTACGGCAAGGGGATCCTTTGTCCCCCTACCTCTTTATTCTGTGTACGGAGGCTTTAGTTGCAAACATTAAAAAGGCAGAGTGACATAAACGATTAACAGGGATGAAGGTCGCTCGGGCGTGTCCAGCGATTTCACACCTTCTTTCTGCGGATGATAGTATGTTCTTTTGTAAGGCGCAACCGGCTGAGTGCCAAACGATATTTACCATACTAAAGGAATATGAGGCTGCTTCAAATCAATCGATCAATTTTCAGAAGTCTTCAATTCAGTTTGGCCATCGGATTGGAGAAGTGGATAGACAGGAGATGAGGAATATACTAGGAATACAGAATATAGGAGGTATGGGAACAAATTTACGCTTACCAGAGAGTTTGGAAGGATCCAAGATACAGGTTTTTGGATTTGTACAGGAAAGATTAAATAAAAGGGTTAATGGATGGACATTTAGATTTTTCACGAAGGGCGGGAAAGAGGTGATTAATAAATCAGTTGTTACAGCATTACCTAATCATGTGATGTCTTGCTATAGGTTACCTAAGACAACTACAAAGAAACTAACCAGTGCGGTAGTAAAATTTTGGTGGAGTCCAGGGGGAAGTACAAGAGGGATGCATTGGAAATCTTGGGATAAATTATGCCTTGACAAGGATGAAGGTGGTTTGGGGTTTAAGGATCTCGAGGATTTTAATACGGCAATGCTTGGTAAGCAATTATGGCGTCTTATTGAAAAGCCAAATACTTTGTTTTCTCGTGTTTTCAAAGGTCGGTACTATAGGAATGGGTCACCTTTGGAACCGATCAGGTCATATTCTCCGTCATATGGCTGGAGAAGTATGATCTCTGCTAGATCTCTGGTTAGCAAAGGACTTATTAAACGGGTGGGATCAAGATCATCTATCTCAGTATGGAATGATCCATGGTTCCCAACCACTCGCCCGAGAGCAGCAACAACAAATCAAAATAATTATAATCCAGATCTCACAGTAGACTCTCTCATCAACACAGATACGCGCACTTGGAATATGCAGGTTATTAGGGATTTGGTCGACCCTCAGGATGTGAAAATAATAGAAAGCATTCCACTTGGGAGAACATGTACGGGGGATAGAGATGGATGGCATTTTACCAAGAACGGCAAATACACAGTTAAGTCAGGATACCAAGTTGAAAGGGTGTATCTTGATAGGGAACGACCAACGGGGATTTATGGACCTACAGTGGATACTTTAAAAGGATTTTGCTGGAAGTTACGGTGCCCTCCTAAGATCAAACATTTTTTATGGCAATTGGTCTCGGGATGTATTGCTGTTAAAAAAAATCTGCAGGGAAGAGGAATAAATGGTGACATATGTTGTGACAGATGTGGTGATGCAGAAGAATCGGTTAATCATGTTTTTTTTTGAATGTCCACCGGCACGACAAATTTGGGCTTTGTCAAAGATCCCTCCCTTTGAATCCGGTAACTTTCCCTATTGAGTCTTTGTTTACGAATATGGACCATTTATTTTGGCAAGTTATTCCTCAAATGGATGATCATCATTTTGCATGGATATTATGGTACATTTGGAAAGGGCGCAATAATAAAACTTTTAGTAATATAGATATAGATCCAAAGGACACATTAACATTGGCGGAAACAGAATCAACTCTCTGGGCGGAGGCTCAAGTGAGAGTGTCTCAGAGGGAAACGCAGACAGAGGTTGTTGAGACCTTACCGTCTATTGCATGGCGCTGGTGTTTTATTGATGGTTCATGGAAAGCTAATGATGTGTTTGCTGGCCAAGGTTGGTATAGTACACTCATGGTTTCATGGGGTTGATGGGAGCAAGGAATGTTAGAACTAGTCTATCCCCACTCCATTCGGAGGTGGAAGCGCTCATTTGGGCGATGGAAAGTATGAGGAATTTGCGTCAATATAACGTTACTTTTGCAACATATTGCTCTCAATTGGTGAAGATGGTGTCGGAACCAGAAGACTGGCCAGCTTTTGCAATTTATTTAGAGGATATCAAAACGCTTCGAGGGAATTTTCAAAGCTCAGAAATTATCTATGTCTCCAGAACTCTGAATTCACGGGCGGATAGTCTAGCACGCAGTGCCAGAAAACAATCGTCTTTCGTTGTTCACATGGATACAGAGCTACCGGTTTGGTTTGCAGAGTCAGTATGAGTCTGTTTTATTGATGTCAAAAAAATAATATAAAAACAAAAATAATATTCTTCTATATTTTCCTCTAAAATAGAGAAACTAATAGAAACAGTGAATTCACGTGTAGAGAAAAATAATAGAAGCCAACAAAACCGTAATGACAAATTATGAAAATTGAATGGAGATGAAGCAGTGACCAAAGTGACCGGAACCAGAGTATTTATCGGGTTCCGGTTATACCGGACCGGTTAAAAACCCTTTTTCATTCCCTTTACCTTTCTTTCTCTTACACTCCCCGTCTCCCTTTCTTCCTCAAATCATCAATTACATAAGAATCCTCAATTGTGATTCTGAATTTCGGTCTTGTTCTCGAATTTCACTATGCTAAGATGGAGAAGTCTCCTCTCTCTGAAAAGCTCAATTTCAACAACATCTTCGGCGGCTACGAGAACCATTCTCGCTCCATTTCATTCGACCAGTGTTTTGTCCGAGAAATCGAAGAAACAATTTGGTTCCGTAAGATCTTTGAATTTGGGTCGTTCTCAGAAACTGTAATTAGATGTTTGATTCTTTCTTTCTTTCTTTTTCGCAGGATAGAGCTTCCAAGGGTGGTTCAACTTCTGACTCTTCAAAGGTATATCTGAAAAGTTGTCAACTTTGATTATGGTTGATGCATTGTTCGGATGATTTTTGATGCATTGCAACCAAATGGGTTTTGCAAAGCTGTATACTTTCATTTGAGGAGATGGTTGCTTGTTAGATGAGTTTTGGTAGAAACCCAATTAAGTTTACGATAAAACTTGGACCTGTATTTGAAGAGATAGACCTTTTTGTGTATTTATTCATACTCATAAGAAAGAAAGTTATCCTCTGAAGCTGCAAAATGTTGATCCCAGAACTCGTCCGTAAGGTTCACATGCACCGTAAAGGAGAAGGGGCGTCGCACTGCTGCCAAAAAGACTCTAGACAATCTTCTCCACCACAGGGGACTTAACGATCCACTTCAGGTTGAACTTTTCTTCTTTCTTTAATAGCTTCAGTACATATCTTATATGTTTGTATACATTGTTTGTCTCCCATAAAGGTCTAGTTTCTAGTGTGTATTCTTAAGCTTGTCTTTTCTTATAACGTAGAATGAGTGGAACTTTGGTCCAAATCCGCTTATCCGAGATAGGCATATGAAGAAAAAATCTCCACCTGGCCGGGGAAAGAAGCCTCGTGATAAGAAAACAAAACGTGAGTTACTTTCCTTCTATTCTCTTCTTTTCTTAGTATCTCACAACTCTTGACTCTCTGTATACTTTGGATATATTAGGATGGCACAGAGAAGGAAACACCGACGATGACTTTGACGCTGATGCTACTAATAAATTTGACAAGAAATGGAGAGAAGCCTGGACGAATCATTCTCACAAGTCCTCCTCTTATTCTAGAGACTCGACATCTGGATTTCAATGGACAGAAGGGTGGAGCTGGACAACTCAGTCTCAAAGAAGCAAAACCTGGAGCCATGAGTCTTGTGAAGAGCCTCTCATAGTTGGGTCTCAGTCTGATAGGAATGCTCTTGGGCTACCTCTAGCTGGTCCCCTCAAACTAGAAGATGTTAAGAACGCGTAAGTCTTCCAACTGATTCCTCAAAATATGACAAAAAGAGTATTATTTCTCTAAAGTCTTTCTTGTTTTTGCAGCTACCATTCCTCAGCTAAGATATGGCATCCGGATATGCATCAGGGGCCTTCTAAGGTAATGCTTTTAACCAAAGATTGGGATTGTTTTAGGTTTTTCTCAAGTTATGTGTGACAGATTGTTGTGATGGCAATTGTAGGCAGCAGCTCAAGAGAAGTTTAAACGCTGTGTTGATGCATACAATTCTCTCTGTTCTGCACTCTCTTGACGTTTACACGGAGAGGCATTGATACATCATTCTTTAGTAGGAGTTAGAGTTTTAAAATTGCTAAGGTTCTCATGATGATTTGATTATGAGAAAACATGCCTCTCTCAACCTTTCTCAGCATTTGATAAACAAAAATAAAACAGCAATATATGCAAGTGATTTATGTTCCTGAGCTGATAAATAATAATAATTTAAGAAAATGGGTAACATTAAAATATCAGTTTCAAATCTCTAACTTTTTCTATCTTCTCTTTGTTATTTTAGTGCCTAGTCTAATACAAGGCTTGAACATACATCCAAACTCTATGAAACTTTCACTTATATATAACATATAGTAAGGATTTCAAAACTTTATCAACATTCTTGAATTAGCAAGTCACCTAACCACAGAGGCTACTTCACACTGGTGGAATAGCAAAGGTACCTCCTAGTGACCTGTGAATAGTTTCTGCGTCCTGCGTTGTTAGTATCTCTGGAATGGACATTCCACCAGAGATGACGATTTCTGTTGCAAGAAAAAAGTTGAAACTTTGAGATCAATTTGGTAAGAGTTTGATCAAAAGTTTCAAAAGTTACCTATGCCTTCACGGACTGAGAGGTTAGGTCTTATGATGTCCTTTGAGCTAATGAGGAAAATGTCTCCAAGATAAAGATGATTAGTGGGGACATAGACACAGCAAAGCTCCTCTCCTCCAGCACGGCTTCGAAGAATCACAGTGGATGTAATGAAACCAAAAGCGTATTCTCCCATATGAGGGTGTCTGATAATCGCCACCTCCTTGAATGCACCTGAGCTTTGTTCTGTACGAGAAAATTAGGGTAAGGATTAGGTAAGTAAAAGAATTACATAAAATTTACTGAGTTTAGAATTGACCAGGTGAGATAGCTCCGCTGATTTGTTTAGAAGCGGAGTAGATGTAGCTGATGAGAGGCATTTTCTTGATAAACCATTCACCAATGCTGAGAAGTGAAGCTCCAAGCCATGAAGACATGAATACACCAACCAGGAAGATGAATGTGATGGATGTCACAAAGCCAAGTCCAAACATGTTGATTCCGAGATGGGTATAGATTGGGGAGAAGAAACCATCAACGAAATGAATGAACCACCATGTGAAGTAAAATGTGACAGCTATTGGAAGAAGAATGACACTGTAATCCAAGAAAGTAATCAATCATGTTGGAGTGATCCTTGAAGATGAAAGTGATTCAGAAACAAAGTAAGGGAGGTTATGTACCATCCGGTCATAAACTTTTTGGAGGCCCAGCTTCGGATGACTTTATAAACCGCCTGTTTGTTTTGTTACATTAACGACATTGAATAACTTAACACACAAGTAACTAACTCCGAGCTCTAGGTCAAAAGCAATGATCATCTAAACTTGAGGAACAATAACACCATTTTATCCTAACAAGCGAAACTATATATGTAGTCGTCGTTATGTATTAGTGATTCGTAAGGAAATGAAAAAAAAAAGTAAAGATAGAAAGACCTCTCTTCCGGCAACGTGAATCGGAGAAGCAAGAGGAGATGGTGGAACAGAGAGAACGACCTCGCGAGGAGAAGCTCCTGATTTATTATGCATCGGAATCAGACGCTCCAAATCTCTCTCCATCTCTCTCTCTCTCTACCCCACAAATCTCAGTTTCTTGGTACTCAAATCTCTCTGAATCGCTTCGTCGATCTCTGATGTTTTTTCTCCGGCTTGTGTGTGAGAGCAACGAACTGCTAAGCATGCATTTTTGCTGTTATGGTGACTTTGCTACATTCTGGGCCTTTATTGTTCATTATTGGGCCGCATAATGAAGCCTAGTATTTATGATACGTGGCAGAGACGATTCGACAGTTGATAGAGAGATGATTTGGTTTTACACATCCTCCTACGTTACTTCTTTCCACAAACTAGCAAACCCATATAAATGAAATTTAGGGCTGGAATTATTATCCGAGATCCGGATCCGATCCGAGATCCGATCCGGATCCGAGACGAAAATAGGATATTTGGGGTGCCCTGGATCCAGATCCGGATAGTAAAATGTCAGATCCGTCGAATCCGGATCCGAATCCGGATATCTGGATTTTTAGGTCCGGATATCCGGATCCGGATCCGTTATTTTTTAAATAAATTAAATTTAAAATATTATTAATAATTATAGTTCATTTATTAATATTTATACATAAAATTAGTCTTATAATATTATTAAAATTATACATAAATATATTTATAAATTGTGTAAATATATTTAATTTCTGTAATATTTATAGAATTTTTGGCATTTTAAAAATTATTTTTATTTTTTTATAGTTATTTTAACGGATCCGGATCCGAATCCGGATATCCGCGGATATCATGATATCTAGACGGGTATCCGGATATCCGGAAGACACGGATCCGGATCCGGATCCTAAAATCACGGATCCGACGGATCCGGATCCGGATACCCCAAATATCCCGGATATCCGGATCCGTCCCACCCCTAATGAAATTTGACTCTTTTTTGATAATCCAGTATCCGACCCCACCGGGCCTAAGCCCATGCCATTACAGGATTTTTAAACCTCCACTTAAGAGCCCCTGGTTACACGAAGTGGTCTGGAGGGCGAGAGCAGTCCATATGAATACCCTCGTGGCCCGGACAAATGTTTGCAGCTGTGGGGATTCGAAACCAGAGTATTGAGGTCCAAGCTCTCTCAGCTGGACATCGTCCCACCACTAGCCCACTTGCACGGATTATGAAATTTGACTCTTACCACATTTTCAATGGTACACTATTTTTTCCTCTATAATTTACACTAAAATAGAGTAACTCTATTATAGTATAAATTTTGTTTCAATGATACTTTATTTTAGTGTAAATTTTGTTTCAATAATTTACTTTATAATAAAATTACTGTATTATAGAATAAAATATAGAGTAATACAATTATTTCACTTCCAATATAGAGTGAAAAAAATGACAGTTCTCTACATTTTACTCTACAATAAAATAACTCTATTACATAGTAAATCATTGGAGCAAATTAACACTATAAAAAAATTATCTATTTTAAGAAAAAAAATAATATGCCATTAAAGATGCCTTAATACTAAAGAGAAACAGATGGAATGGAAAAGAAATACTATTTTTATCGATGGTAAGAAAAATTAGGAATATTAACGAATGCATAGATCTTTTCATTTTTTTGGTTACCAATTATAATCTAAGTGATGATGATTATCCGCAGAGAGAGTTTTCGTACCCGATTTAAATGAAAATTGAAATTTTCGTAATCACTTCCAATTTCTTTTTGTTTTGTGGAAACTGTGTCTCTCACGAACCCACCTAAGTCTACGAAGCCCACAAGGATCTCAAATAAAAAGACTGTCACCACAACAAGCATATTAGCCCTCAACTGGGAAATCAACCAAAGGTCCCTTGACGAAAACATATATCAACTAGTACAAAATTTAATTTCTATACATGAATTTTCAAAATTTAGTTTTAATATAATATTGGTTTGATTTTCGTTAGTCAAACGTTACGGAAAATAAATTATCATTAACCAATAAAAAGAAATCAATCAATTCTTATAACAACAGGGTCAACGGTCCTAATGAATATATAAACGCTTCACATATATGAAATACTAGGATAAGCCCGCCCTACAGGCGGACGCGTGAGTAAATAAACAATTAGTACAAATTTATTTAAAATGTTTGATTTTTTTTAACTAAAAGTATTATTGATATTCATAAGTTAATTATAACAATTTAACTATTTCTTATGTTTGCTCTCAGTCTCAGTAGTATATTTGAAATAGATGAAAAAATACATGTTGAAATTTATGGTATTGTAAAATCGTTTTGAAAATAAAAAATGAGTAACACGATTCACAATAAGATAAAAAATAATAATTTAAATTACTTTTTCTTCTTGTATGATTTGTGTAATTTTTTATGATTCATGTATTTAATTCTGAATGTTGTAATTAATGTTTTCAATTTGTTTTGATAAATACATGTTTCTCAAGAAATAGTCCTTTGATTCTTTTTTTGGACAACAAATAGTCCTAGATTCATTCATTCAAAGATAAACGACAAATGACTTAGGTTAAATGTTATTATAGACGAACCATTAAGACCTCCAAAGTCTGCATGCTTGTTGGCTGTTGCTTTTGAATATGATCAAGCTTTATAAAATCTCTCGTGTTATAGCATCTCCAGTCGTAGCATGACCATGTTTTCTCCACATTATTATCAATAATGTCCTCAAGTGCGACAGTCAAAACACTACAAGAAAACAGAGCGATACTGAGGGAATTTCCGAGGGAACGTTGTTTCCTCGGAATATTCCGATGATATTCCGAGGGAATTCCGAGGAAACACAATTTATGTGTTTCCTCAGAATTTCCTCGGAATATACCTAGGAAATTCCGAGGAACAAAAGTCTCCTCGGATTTTTCCGATGCCATTCCGAAGACGAAATGTCCCTCGAAATAAACCCAGGAAAATCCGATGAGAAATTATAGCCGTTAGATAGCCGTTGTGGTATTTCAAAAATTCCGAGGAAATTCCGACGCAAACGGCTATTCCCTCGGAATTTCCTCGGAATTTCGTGGGAATTGTCAGCAGATGATATCTATAAATACAAGCACCCCTCATCCTCTTCATTCACTCCATATCTTCATCCTCTCTCATTCTATTTTGCACACACGAATCTGATTGAAAAAACATGTCTTCTTATAATTATCATCGCTCGTGGATCGATCGACCTCATATGGATCCGAACACGAGATTGCTTACGCCAGAATTTGAAAGTGGTCTAAA